TCATATCTTGCCCTGTCCGACGTCCCCTTCACCCACCCCTCTGTTGTCTAGACGGCTTTCTTACTATCATTCATATCCCTTAACATTTTAGGTGGCAAAGTAGAATGGCAATTGGGCTGTGCCTGGGCAGAAGCACCCTGAAGTGTGTGTATTTAACTACACTGCGTTCACCAGCTCCTAGGAAAGGAGTCGCCATTTATAAAACGCCCCCAGATTTTTCTTCGCTAAACAAAGGAACTCTAATTTCTAAGAGGACAACCCAACCTTGGATGCCTGCCGCCACTGTTCCTGGTCTCAGCCATCCTCTCTGTGGCCCTGCCCAACCTGGCCCCGAAGAATCCGCCTCAGAGAGCTGCTGTCAGGAAAGGCCCTGGTGGGCTGTGAATATCACAATACCCCACGGATAAAACACGGTGGCCATTTTAATCTGCAAACGATGCTGACCTCAGAGATTGCCTTGCCCAGATTCTAATCACCTGACCCCTCCCTCTGGAAAGTCCAAGACAAACTTTTCAAGGAGGGCCTATCCTAGAAGCCGTGTAGTTGACTTTGCTGAACCTCTTTCCTCACTGATAACACGGCGGAAATAAAGCAATATAATAATGTCTCTGTGCTTTGATAAACAGACAGCATTGCCATATTAAGATCCCCCTTTTAACTTTCTTATTTCTCAGACAGAAAACAGAGCTCATAGCTTTGAGGATTATTGGGTTCTGAGCTTCTTATACCTTTGCTGTGAATGGCAAGTGATGACTCCGAGTGAACTGGAAATGCTATGCTTCCATTTTTTTAATCCCGTTATACAATTCTAAGTTTTCCTTACACTGAGCCAGCGATTCCAAGAGTCATGTTAATTTTCCCCAAACATACGTGCATGTAATGAAAGCATGGATTTCTCTCAGGATGGCCATACCCCTGCTCCCACTCCATCTCCTCACCTCACCCCACATAGACATGTCACCGCTTCAAGGATCAGATCTGGGACACTGTCCCCGGCTGTGTCATCCCCAACAGAGAGTGATTGTGTTCCTTTCTCTGGCCAGCAGGTGGCATTGC